TTAACCAAAATTGAGCCAGCAGCTTATGAGAAATACCCAACTACAGCCACTTTGAAAGGTCACAGGTTACTACAATGGTTATGACACTGCTATTGTGAAGCAAATTAGTACTACTTTTTGGGCTACAGAGGCACAAACGATAAAAAAACAATTCTTTCTGCTAAATCATGATTTTACTAAAATTAGGTTACATGGGATTGGTAGCTAGGTGGATTACCAATAGTAGTACGTCAGGTTGACCATGTTTTCTCCTAGCAATGTTTTGAAATGATGGGTAACTTTTCCCACAAGAACTGAAAGAACGAACCCAGATGCAAAATTCTACTGAAGCAGCTGGTCTAGTGGACCAAGAAACTCTTCTTTAGGTCTGGGGGATCTGTAGTGACAGATACAAAAGTTTGATATATTTCCTTGTATTTAAAAAATCCTACCTTTGAATAGTATTTACTTTAATGAAAAGTGTTCTCCATTGTAAGCAAATTATCTTCAAGGACTGAAATCTCCAAGAAATTATGAGTGCCTCAGAGTAAAATCTGAAAAGGGTGAACTGTCAGGATGCTAGTGGAGATTCAACTGTATCGATTTCTTATTAGGATTGTTACTGTTTAAAGATCTGAGACTATCTTTCCTACTGGATCCTGGTTTTAGTGAATGACCTTGCAGATTCAGATTTTTCAAGGATATACATTCAGCATTATTGAAGACCATGTGTAGAAGCACCAGTCCTGGCCGGCACCGCGGCTCACTAGGCTAATCCTCTGCCTTGCGGCGCCGGCCCACTGGGTTCTAGTCCCTGTCAGGGAGCCAGATTCTGTCCCGGTTGCCCCTCTTCCAGGCCAGCTCTCTGCCGTGCCCAGGGAGTGCAGTGGAGGATGGCCCAAGTCCTTGGGCCCTGCACTCCATGGGAGACCAGGATAAGTACCTGGCTCCTGCCATCGGATCAGCGTGGTGTGCTGGCCGCAGCGCGCCGGCCACTGGAGGGTGAACCAACGGCAAAAGGAAGACCTTTCTCTCTGTCTCTCTCTCTCACTGTCCACTCTGCCTGTCAAAAAAGTAAAAACAAACAAAACACCAGTCCCTGTGGTATGGGAGGTAAAGCCACAGCCTTCATCCCATATGGGTGCAGGTTCATGTGCTGATTGCTCCACTTCTGATCCAACTCCCTGCTAATGCACGTGGGAAAGCAGCGGAAGGTGGCCCAAGCACTTGGGTTCCTACACCCATGTGGGAGATCTGGAAGAGGCTCCTGGCTTTCAATCAGCCCAGTTCTGGCCATTGCCATTTGGGGAGTGAACCAGTGGGTAGAAGAACTCTGTCTCTCCTTCTGTTATCTCTGCCCTTCAAATAAATCTTTTTTAATTCTAAGATCAATACATTAAAAAAAAAGTTCATTATTAGAGCAATAAGTCCAATCTAAGAGGTCAGTTCTTCCTGATTTGTTAATGCCTCTCTTGCAGCTGGGCCTGGATTCCACCCAGAGTCATTTCTGTTTCTCCACTTAGCAGTCCATTTTTGTTGCCAGATGATTCTCAGGCTTGAATACATATAAAATGGAGTGTTCTTTATTCAAAACTAAGAATTCCTTTCTTGACTAGCAACTTCTCAGCCTTCCTTACATTTAAGGTACTCTGTGTTTTCCAAATACCTGTTCTATGCTACCCTAAGTTGCAGCCCACTAGGCCACCCCTGCAAGTGTTGATCTACTTGGGATGCTCAGTTCCTCCTTCCCGACTCACTGAAATCCAATTCCAAGTGACTCACAGTGGAACTCAACCCCAGAGAACCTGACAACACTTTTACCCTACTGTATTCCCTTCTCAACCACACATTTGTCTAACTTCCAACTACAGAATAAGCACCTGAGGAACTCAGTTTTCATCATTGCTATCCCCTCTTCAAATCATCATCTATGCAAGAATGCTCAACAGAACCTCTCTTTAAAGGTATTCCCATCTCTGGGAAAGCAGATGGCCCAAGTCCTTGGGCACCTGCACCTGCGTGGGAGACCCAGGGGAAGTCCTGGCTTTGGATCAGCACAGCTCTGGTCATTGTGACCATTCAGGGCATAGACCAGTGGAAGGAAGACCTCTCTCCCTCTCTTTGCCTCTGCCTCTTGTTAACTCTGCCTTTCAGATAAATAAACAAATCTAAAAAAAATAAAAGTACTGCCATCTTTCAACAGACAAGAGCACCACCCTGGCTACGGTAAGGGAGCCTAGCCTGGAAGCTCAACAGCCGAAACAGAGTGGTTGCCCACAAAAATAACCAGGTGGAGAATTAAATAAGCATAACATTTACAAACTAAGGATCTGTACTCAAAAAAACCTGTTTGCTTCTGTGACCTGAGGACAAACCACTTCTACTTAATTTCTTCCTAAACAAAAGCCAATACATGTTTACTTCACAGGGCAGAAAAAGATAAAATGGGTAGAAATGCAAAGGCCACCTCCAAGAGAATGTAGCCTCTGCTGTTACAGCACCTTTCTTTCCTAGAACCACATGTTCTAAGGAAAGGCCTCACTGAGCACTCCTTCCACACAGGGAGAGCCAGCTCTGCACAGCTTTTTGGAGTCACACAGCAATTACTCTTTCAATTTACAATCTATGAAAACATCTCATCCTCAAGTCAAACACACATTTACCTCTTCTAACCGTCCTCTAGGTGTGCTTAATCCAGCAGAGGGAAACATTTCTTACCTCTCACCTGGAAAGCTGGCAGTGTCATTTCAATAGAATGAAGCAAATTCATGGCAAAACAGTTAAGATATCCAGGAAAGACTTCATTCTGTAATTACTATGTAATAGAAAGAGCCTCAATTATACACAACCACAGAAATGAAGATTCTGAAGTGCTAAACCAGATGTTAAAGTTGGTCGTGCATTTTACTCAGAATTCCACAGTCGGAATTCCCTCACTGCATATCCCCAAAAAGCTGATTCACTTGGCTTCTTAATCCACAGGTTATCAGATTTTCAAAGTTTTACATAATGGATTTCTCTAATATAGTCTCCAAATCCTGCTTCTTATTCCATTTTATCTCATGACTCGACTATAGGCTATGAAGTCTGTATTTATTACAGTAGAGGCAATTTCCAAGCATGAAAATATCCTTTTCTCTACCAACCATAATTCCCAAAGCTCTGGTCACTTTGCTTTACCATACGCTCAACACGGTTTCAATCTCCTCACTCCCCAAAACTCCTTTTTTGACAAAGCTTGAATTTCTATCATGGCAAGGCTTCAAAGCTAACCTCTTTCAGAAAAGCTTCCAATTCACACTCACAAAATCTTATTCAACGAATAGCATTCGACTGCCATGGGTGGTGCCCTGTGCCAAGTGCCTAGTAGCAGGAATAGGGTGTAGACCCTTTATTTCTGATTCTACTGCTTTCTAATTGTCAATTAAGGCCATTAGTTACACTGTGAAACTGTCCCCTCATCTACAAAACAAGAATAACCAGCACTACTCCAAGTGCTCAAAGGATCAGATGTAATGAACTTTTGTTTGGCAGGGCTGAACATAATGTAGCACTCAGCTGAATGACTTCAAGAGTGCAATGGTGAGCAAGTCAGAGAAGATGCCTGATCTAGCTGGATCACTTTTGGCAATCTTCTGTATTCAAAGTTTGCTTTGCCCTAAATGGCCTTTCTCTCAAGACCTAGCATTTTTTTGTAGAATGCACTTAATGCTTATTGACATTGTAAATGTGAACTTTCCCCTCCTAGTTGCTAGCTCTCTGAAGTACAACCATCTCTAAGGCAAAGACTGGCTTTCTGGAAACTGGTTCAGGATCTTCCAGCCTAAAGGGCTTGCTTTCTTTCCCTAAGCAACTCAAGTCTGAAGAGCACACTTTTCAAGCACGTGATTTCTGTTAGACCAGCTGCGCCATTGAGTGTATATACTATATCATACTTATAACTACAGATTGGCAGTAAGGAAGCCATTAAGACTGGCATCTCCAGCTCTAGCCTGGTATTTTATTGGATCCTTATAGAAGCAGAACTCAGAATGTCAGCCCCCCCTCCCCCCATCTAACCATTTTAGGAGTGGCAATGCTGAAAGATTTATCAGTTCCTACTATTACTGCCCGAAGCAAATGGCTCATGGTTTGAAATTTAAAAAAATCAACTGAAATAAGTGCCCAGGGGAACCCTAAGGGCGCCACTATCAATCCAATACAGTTGGGCAAATTACAGAATAAGGACCGCTTGCTCTTCAAAGAGGGGCCTGCTCCTCTCCAATGTCAAGCCAGACAGCAATGTTGAGAAGCTCTGATAAATCTGCTGAAAGTTCCAGATCACTGCCTGAAAATGGCAACTCCAGACCATCCTCTCTGCTCCCCTGTGGCCTTACTCCACATTTTTTCACTAACCATCTCTCCGCAGTCAGAAAACTCTGAGAGGAGGCCTTTTTTTTTTTTTTTTTTTTTAAGATAAAGTATAATTACGCCAACTGCTTGTGAGTTAATGGATCCATTCAAAAAGTGCAACGGACAAAGCCAGACCGAAGGGCTTTTTATTTCGAAGCGCGAGGGCTGTTGGCTGCTCCACCAACGCGCCTGGATCTGATCCGAAACCGCAAACTGCCGTAACACGGAAAGAAAATGGAAAAAAGAGGCTGCTTGCAACGCTCACGCCATGGCTACCCTTTCTGTCAGCCCTCGAGCTTCGCTCGGCGTCCAGCTTAATTCACATGTCAAGATGGTGACTCCCGGGGGGAGACACACACAGAGCCCGGGACGTTCCCAGGGCCAGGGGGCGTCTCCACCTCCCGTCCTCACGAGGGCCCAGGCCTCTGGGCCAGCCTCTTTGTCTCCTCCACCAACGCCGAGAGGAAGGAAGGAGGGAGGGAGGGAGTGCGGCAGGGAGGGGAGCGACTCCCTCCCGGCCCCGCCGCCCGATCGAGACCGGGCGGGGAGAGAGGAGGACCACCCGCCCGTCCGCCCGTCCGCCCGTCCCGCGCTCCGCCGCGGGCAGCGTGCGCGCCGGCCGCCCTCACCTCGTCCTCCTGCTCGCTCCGGAAGCACAGGCACGCCGCCCGCTTCTTGAAGCCCTCGCGGTCATAGGTCCGCGTCTGGTTGGGCTTGAACTTCATCATAGAGGCGGGTTCTTGCTGCCGCTGCTGCTCCGGCCGCCGCCGCTGCGGGGGCCTGGCCGCCGCCACCCCGCCGGGGAGTAGGGGCGAGGACGAATCCGGGTGTCGGGGCTCCGGGCGCGCTGACAGGCGAGACGGGCGGCGCGGGGAGCTGAGGCAAGGCCGCTTCAGTCCCGGGGCCGGAGGTCGTTCCGACGCGGTGCGGGAGGTGAGCGCCGGTCACTGCAGCCCGGGGGCCGGGAGGGAAGCGCCGCCTCTGCCTGGGCGTCTGCCGCTCTCCATGGAGCCCGCCGTCCGCTCGCCTCCACTCCCTCTTTCCGCCGTCGCCACCAGGGGAAGAGCCAGGCTCGAGGCTCGCGCCACGCGGAGGCAGTTGCGAAGACCGACGCCGACTGAGCAGCAGCACCGCGGCGGCTGCGCGCCACCCCCTCCGCCCGTATTTAAGCGGGGCCCACACTAGCGCCGCCCCCTCCGCGCGCCATTCTGCGCGCGCCTCTGCGCCTGCGTGCCGAGACCGTTGCCGCCGCCTCCCCCCTCCTCGGGTGGGGAGGGGGGGAGGGCGGGACCACGCTCTTCCGGGCTCGGGATTGGCGGGGCCTCAGGGCTGGCGGCTGAAGCCGGGTGAGGAGTGACTGACCCGGTAAGAAGCCGGCGAGCACGAGAAAGCTGAGACCTCCTTCCTCCCGGTTTATCAGTCCCTCAGCACTCCCCCGCCAGGAGCTAAACACCATCTGCACGAGGCGGGCTGAAGCTGCGGGCTGCCCAGCGAGGGTGCGCCCTGTCAGGGAATTGCCGGGGGGCGTCGCAACGATTGCCAGGTTCTCGTCCAGAATCCGCCCGTGTGGCGCGGGCGAGAGGGAGGACCTTGCCGGCCTTGAGAGGTTCTTAGGCATTGATTGAAGGATTTTTCTTTCGTTCGTTCTTTCCCCGGAAGCGGAGAAGGCAAATTTCTTTTTAAAAAATAATCTTTGGGGGTGGCTTGTATTCTTTCCAGAAGTCAGCTCTAGCCTCAGCCTTGTTTTGAGGCTGTCTACGACGCTCGGCACCTTTGTTTCTCCCTCCAGAATGTGTTGATAATAATGGTCGTGGCTGGTATTTACTGGTTTTTGAGTGTATCTCAGGCTAAGTAACAGGCACAGCTGGATGCTGAGGCCACAACACTCAATAAGTGGAACTTCGGCCATCTGGGAGCTTACAGCCTCTTGGCTGCTTAGGAGAAGCGACCTCCACGTTTCAGAGCGTGGAAGGCTTGCAGGAGCCAGGAGTGTGGCCTGCCGTCAGAGGCTTAGTGCTTAGGTGGGCACCTCCGCTTGTTCCTTAGTTGTTGCTTCCCGGGGACCTACTGTGTACCGGGCCCTGTCCTCTAACAAAAGTAGTTGAGTCCCTGGCCCTCCAGGAAGGTAGGGACCTGAGAACAGATGGTCACACATGAATCAGTGGTGGAATACAAACAAAACTGGATGGTATGCGGTCTAAGGGGGTAGAGGGTTTAGGGGGAGATTTGATCAGATTTTCATGTCAGAAGAGCTGCGGTTGCAGAAGGAGCTCAAGAACTTTCAAGGCGAAGGAACTGAGATTTATGCAGAGCCCAGTGGAGGAGGGAGTGAGAAGAATGCTAAGAACGGAAAGAAAAAGCCCCACGTGGGAGCAGAGGGAGGCCTGAGGGAGGGAAGCTGCTTCCCCCTGAAGCTGAGAGGCCGGTGAGGTCTGGTCGCTCAGAGTCTGGCGACCCTGGGGGAGCTCGGAGCAGGGCGCTGGTCTTCCCAGTCTAGGCTATGACCTCCTTTAGATGGGGGACTGCTGCGTCTAACTCATCCTGTGACCACCAGAACCCAGCAGGTGCAGGTGAATGTTGAATCCGTGATTGAAGGAGTCAGGCTTCACCATGGTGCAAAATCAAGTCCGTGCGCAGGCATTTTCTAAGCCTTTGCTTTCTTACTGAAGCCACTGGAAGTTGAACTATCTCCAGGATTTTTAAACATGGGCAGAACACGTGTAGCTGGGAGCTCCAGGATGGCTAATCTGTTATTTTTAGATAATTGGCTCGCATTGAGAGTCTCACCATGGTCTTTTTTGAATGACAAAGAAGATTGTTTCCCTCTGCCTAAACCCTTTGAATGTCTGGCTTCGGGTCAGCACAATAAATACGAGTTGACTCAGTGTTGGTCCACACAAGTCTTGCTCATTTGTTCATTACATGAGGAGAGACCTGAGTCAGAAATCACCGAAGAGGAAAGGAGATGATGTCTGGAAACAAGTTGCTGAGGGGAGGAAAAGGAACCGTGTAAAAACAGTGAAAGTGAGCGCCTGGCCACTTGCCTCAGCATCCGGGCCAGTGGACATGGCGGGAAAATGTACCAGTTACTCTATGTATTTGCGTTGTCTCTGATCCTCAGTTTTTCTCACCTCTCAAATGCGGGTAGTATGACTTAGAGCATCTTATGCAAGGCTTGACTGAGATACCATAGTGAGTCTGAGTGTCCATAAATCATTTAAAGAAATGCGATTCTCAAGGAAATTTTTATTGGAGCTCTCTCTTCCTTTTCCACAGAGTAGGAAAGTAATGGAGCAGGCTGAGTGCTTGTGGTGGGCTGTGGATTTTAACACTGAGGAAAGAGGGCGTCTCAATGTAAAAAAAATGCTGCAATGACTTAGTAAAAATGATTAATATAAATGATCATCCCCTGCACTTCATTCACTTATTTCTATGGTTTCTGGAACTATTTAAGAGAGACCTAAGAGAAAAGGAAACTTGTCTGACTGAAGTGACTGAATAAAGAAATGCTTGTGCTTCCATTTCCTATGTCAGTTCCTCAGTATGAGGGTGCATGCCCCAGCCCAAAGTTCCTGCTTAGTACAGTTTAACTCGTATAAAGCGTCTGAAATGCACTTAGGCACTGCTCAAAGCTTCGATCCTATCACAGCCAGATCACAGTCTGATAGCCACAGACTTGTTTTTCCTCTCTAAGGCCAGTAAGGACTGGGCTACACCAGTCACTTCACATGGTGATCAGAGTCCAAGTTCAGATTTAATCTCTGTTTGTTTCACTTGCCACAGCATTGTCATACCTGGATTTCCTATCCACAGAGTCATTTCTTAAACTACTTTTGGATATTTCCAACTTTCAGAGAAGGAAACAGGGTAACATTGCCTGTAGACTTGGTTTCCCTCGGGTCCTTTTAACAATGGAGCAGAGAATTTGAGCAGGTAGCTGCCTCTCTGAACTGGTGGCGTGGTCTTCTGTGACTGACTCACAATGTTACCATAAAGTAACTTCCCTCTCTTGGTGATAATGACAAATAATCCCTTCCTATGCCTTTCTAATGATAATCATTGCTATTCTTTATTGAGGGCTAGCCAGTGCTGGGTACTGCACATGATCTCATTTGGATGATCCTGGCAACAGCTCTATGAGGCAGCTGCAATCAATTGTCCCCATTTTACAGACTAAGAAACAAGGGACAGAGTTCAGCTCAAGTTCTCAACTCCTGCATCGTATTACGGTGAGTTTGTCTTGCTGCTTCTATTACATGTTCATTATTATTTTGAACGTGTTGCATTTTTACAAGGCTTTCATTTAATTTTAAAATGAAAAATTGTTGTGGGTGTTTAAGGTAGGGTACAGAAGAGCAGCTCTCCAGGTGGGAAATGGAAGTCTCAATTACAATTTCATTTCATCTAAAGTGAAAATTTTTTTCTTTTACAAAAGGTACAGATAAGTAAGGAGAGTCGAAAAGTTAAGAAGCCTTAAATAATGAAGGCATTAAGATATAAAAAAATCCTAAAAGGACTGGTCAATCCACTGAGCATTTGCAAAACTGTACAGACTTTTTTGGGGGGAGAGTTGACTATTTATGAACTTCTCTTTCGCTGAAATCAAGAACTGATTTTCAGATTCACGATGTATTTCCTGTTTTCTCAATTCCTATTTACTGAAGAGTCCTTGTTTCAGAAGCACTGGGTTTATGTGCAGTTCTCTGTAGCTAATGGAAATGTTTACTGGGAAGCAGACTTCTCTTCCCTTCTTTATCACGCAAGGAAAGGTGTATGCCAAGGGGTTATCTCCTTGCAAAGACATGACTTGACAGTTTCACAGGCTTCTTCAGGCCAGCACTCTTGAACTCCCATTTTTCTTGGGGATGGTTGTTTTTGCTCCATAGCAGGTCTTCATTTTTTATTTGAGGATAAATGCTAAAAAAAGAATGCTTGCCTGTAAGAGACACGTTAATCAATTGCAGGTAAAAGACCTTATTTTGATCTAGATTCAAATAACGAACTTAAAGAATATTTGTGGGACCAACAGGGAATATGAACACTAAATATTTGATGATATTCAGCAACTATTGTGATGATGTTTGAAAAGTCCTTATCTTTTAGAGATATGTACTCAAATGTTTGCAGCTGAAGTAATATGATATCTGGGATTTTAGTTAAAGATTTTATTTATTTATTTGAGAGGTAGAGTTACAGACAGAGAGACAGAGACAAAGATCTTCCACCTGCTAGTTCACTGCCCAGATGGCTACATTGGCCAGACCTGGGATGATCCGAAGCCAGGAGCCAGGAACTAGGAGCTTCTTCCGGGTCTCCCACATGGATGCAGGGGCCCAATTATTTAGGCCATCTTCCACTGCTTTCATAGGCCATAACAAAGAGCTGGATGGGCAGAGGAGCAGCTGGGACTCCAACTGGTGCCCATATGGAATTCTGGTCTGAGATTTATTGCAAAACATTTGAGATTGCTGGGGACAGGGAAAATGGGTGGGTTTATGCTGGATTGCTCATTATTTGATTATTGTTAAGATGGATGCATAGGAATGCAGCCTTATTATTATCATTATTTTTTTGCATTTCTTTGAAACTTTCTATAATAAAAATATTCTACGAAATTAAGTTCAAGCCATTAGCAAAATTGGAGAGAGGACCAAGGTGAAAGAAAGGAATGGAGGATATTCCATATTTTTGGAAGACATGAAAGTGAATCTTCGCACAATTAGAATATAATGTGTGCACAACCTGTGATATACTACTAGAGTCTAAAATGACTGCTTAGAAACTTACTTGATCAGAAATAAAAAAGAACCACAGAAGTCCATTACTTTGGTTCTGAATATTTGAGTTTACCCCTTTCTCTCTTCTGTCTATAAAGTGAAAGAAGGGTCTTCATTGTCAGGTGCAAAAATTGATCTGAGGTTATATAAATGCATTTTTTGTAAAAAAAATTTCTATTTTAAAAACTTATTTGAAAGACAAGAAGAGGGAAAAAGTGATTTCCCATTGACTAGTTCATTCCACAAATGCCAACAATAGGCAAGACTGGGCCAGATGAAATCCAGGAGCCTGGAATTTAATCTGGGTCTCCCATATGGGTGGCAGGAACCCAAGTACATGAACTGCTACCCTGCTACCTCCCAGGGTATACAACAATAGCAGGAACTAAAATTGCAAGTGGAGCCAGCATTCAAATCTAGGCACTTGGGTATGGTGTGGGAGCATTCCAAGTGACATCTTAACCATTGTACTCAATGCCCATCCTGTAGGGTTTCTTTTTTTAAGATATTATTTATTTGAAAGTCAGAGTTACAGCAAGAGAGGGAGAGACAGAGAGAGAGATAGAGGAGAGATTTTCACCCCCAAAATGGCTGCAATGGCCAGGGCGGGGCCGGGCTGAAGCTAGGAGCCAAGGAGTTTCATCCAGGTCTCCAATGTGAGTTCTGGGGCGGAAACACTTGGGCATCCTCCACTGCTTTCTCAGGCACATTAGCAGGGAGCCGCATTGGAAGTGGAGCAGCTGGGAATCTGCAGAAGTCCCTGAAAATGGGCACCTGGAAGATGGTGAATTTTTTTTTGAAATTATATGTAAATTTTATGCTTGTGAACATGTAAACTTTTTTTTTGTAGAGATGAGTTCATAGCTTTCGTAATAATGTGCCAAAGAATTAAGAATCACTGCCTTGAGCAAACTGATCTATAAATCCCAGACAAGGGGAATGTGAGTCTGAATCTGTCAATAGAAAGTTAACATCAAAGCTGGAATTAGGTGAAGCGTCAGATGATCTAGGTGCAGGGTTCCGGAGTAGGGTACTGTGGCTATGCGCTGGCAAGCTTGTAAACCAGAATCCGTTTCTAGGAGCAGGAACAATATCTGGAACTAAGAAAGAGGAACAGAAAGACACAACAGAGGTAGTCTTTGTAAGCCCCCATTGCTTGAAAAGGAATTGATTTTAGACTTGGGTAAGACACAAAGTTTTCCATTAACAGTGGTGTCTTCCAGTATGAGTTAATGTGTCTGAGCTCCCAAATGGCTGTGATGGCTCCACTTTCCTTTCCAAGTTGCTCACACCTTTGTAAACAATCTGCAAGACGATGTACTTATAATTGATGGACTTCAGCTTTCTATTACTCACACACCCCTATTCACAGCATCTATAAAATTATATCTGGGGCTGGTGCTGTGCATAGTAAGTTCAGCCTCCACCTGTGGCACCAGCAACCCAGATGGGTGCCGGTTTGAGTCTTGGCTGCTTTTTTTTTTTTTTTTTTTAAGATTTATTTATTTATTTGAAAGGCAGAGTTACAGAGAGGCAGAAGTGAGAGAGAGAGGGAGAGGTCTTGCATCTGATGGTCATTCCCCAGGTGGCCACAATGCTGGAGCTGAGCCAATCCGAAGCAAGGAGCCAGGAGCTTCCTCCAGGTCTCCCATGTGGGTGCAGGAGCCCAAGGACCTGAGCCATCTTCCACTGCTTTCCCAGGCCATAGCAGAGAGCTGGATCAGAAGTGGAGCAACCGGGACTTGAACTGGTGCCCGTGTGGGATGCCAGCACCGCAGGCCGGGGCTTTACCTGCTATGTCTCATTTTATATGGATAAAATATTTCAGAGTTTCATAGAATGATTCTAAGAGGAAATTCTTGGCTTCCTGTGGCTCTCATATCACTTGCTAATATTTGACCACTAAAGATCTAAGTCAGATTGGAATAATTTATCCTGTTTAAAGAACAGTATCTATGAGAAAACTTCAAAAAGTGAATGGTTAATGGGACTGTTTCATATGGAATATTTGATGGATTTATTTTTGAATTCCATTCAAACATTGTGGTAGGCACTGTAAAGGATGCAAGAGAAACAGAAGACAGTGCTGATATTTGCAGTCTTTGGGAAACGTGAAACAAAACAAGGTAATACAGGGCTTCCGGAAACTGCTCTTTAACCATAACTCCACCCCCCACCATGAAAGTAGCTTTCCATATCACTTTTCCTTTCTGTTTGTAAAGAAAATAAATAAGTATGTGAGAGAGCAGACATGTCCTGTTTCAGTTGTATGATCTCCAAGAGTCCTTTATTTTACTAATTAATAGGAAAGTCACGTTCACTCACAGGTGCATTATATAGGGATGAAATTTTCAGGCGGAACCTTTGTACAGGTAGTCATTAAAAAAACCACTGTTCTCAGCCGGCGCCGTGGCTCAACAGGCTAATCCTCCACCTAGTGGCGCCGGCACACCGGGTTCTAGTCCCAGTCGGGGCACTGGATTCTGTCCCGTGTTGCCCCCCTTCCAGGCCAGCTCTCTGCTATGGCCAGGGAGTGCAGTGGAGGATGGCCCAAAAGTCCTTGGGCCCTGCACCCCATGGGAGACCAGGAGAAGCACCTGACTCCTGCCTTTGGATCAGCGCAGCGCGCCCGCCGCGGCAGCCATTGGAGGGTGAACCAACGGCAAAAGGAAGACCTGTCTCTCTCTCTCACTGTCCACTCTGCCTGTCAAAAAAAAAAAAAAAAAAAAAAAACAAAACACTGTTCTCCTTTGACAGTTTAGTAATGCTAACATAAATATCCACAGATGTCAATTGTACACAGTGTAGATATTTTTGCTTTAAGAGACCATTGCATATCCTAGGTTTCTTTGCCATGGAAATCTAAACCGTTGTTCTTAAAACATGTTACTTTAGGTAAAGATTCTTTATCACTTTATCTTTATCAATTTAAAATATTTGGAAAAGAATAAATGCTTAAGTTGTCATTTTTTTAAAAAAAGATATATTTATTTATTTGAAAGTCAGAGTTACACAGAGAGAGGAGAGGCAGAGAGAGAGAGAGAGAGAGGTCTTCCATCCAATGGTTCAGTCCCCAATTAGCTGCGACGGCTGGAGCTACGCCGATCTGAAGCCAGGAGCCAGGAGCTTTTCCGCGGGTGCAGGGGCCCAAGGACTTGGGCCATCTTCTACTGCTTTCCCATGCCATAGCAGAGAGATGGATCGAAAGTGGAGCAGCCGGTGCCCATATGGGATGCCGATGCTTCAGGCCAGGGCGTTAACCTGCCATGCCACAGCCCCAGCCCCTTAAGTTGTCTTTGATTTTTACTTCTATTTGGGTTAGTTAGATGCTAAAATTTTTAAATCCTCATCTGGAGAAACTTGGGGATGCTGTAAGATGGACTACAGGGGTAGATTCTTGAGGAAAATGCTCAGGGTTTATATGCCAGGTTTGCAAGTGAAACACAAAACTA